ATATGGTACATATGACATTGTCGTTATGATCACAAAGTGGCTAAGTGCGTGAACTCACATAAGTAGGATCGATGTCATATGTTCTTCCGGTATTTGAAAAAAATATTCTTAATTAGCCTAATAATTTAACCACTAAAATTACTTACATTCTAGTTAGCGTAAAGAATTCTCCATTTTAGTTAGGCTAAAGAATCCTGTCAGTGAACAAACAACCTATTACTGGTGCGACTATCTGGTTTGGTTTGAATAGAGTTGTTGTCGAAACTAATGGTGTTAGTTGAATTGTATTAACTATTTCGGTTACCAAAATTGTATTGATAACTACAATTTTTGAATCCCCGTGTAGATATTGAATCCTATTTACTAACAAAACTATTCACATGCCAACCATTTAACTTCTCAATGAAGCATTTACATTTCTTATTTACTCTTCCTAACTCTTTCGAATTCAAGATTATTGTAGTCTTTTGAAATGATATAAAAAATTAAAAAAAAAGAGATACAGTTGTAACAAAAAACACACGATAGCTGGATGAAGATAGAAATTTGATATTATTCATAGTTCAATAGAAAATAAAAATACATATACCATAACTGGATGAACTTAAAAATAAAAGCTAAAAAAAAGAAAAAACAACACAAACATAACCTAAAAACTAATTAATTTCAACTGGATCTTCACCAAAATTGTATTGATAACTACAATTTTTGAATTTCCGTGTAGATATTGAATCCTATTTACTAACAAAATTATTCACATGCCAATCATTTAACTTCTCAATGAAGCATTTACATTTCTTATTTACTCTTCCTAACTCTTTCGAATTCAAGACTATTGTAGTCTTTTGAAATGATATAAAAAATTTAAAAAAAAAAGATAAAGTTATAACAAAAAACACACGATAGCTGGATGAAGATAGAAATTTGATATCATTCATAGTTCAATATAAAATAAAAATACATATACCATAACTGGATGAACTTAAAAATAAAAGCTAAAAAAAAGAAAAAACAACACAAACATAACCTAAAAACTAATTAATTTCAACCGGATCTTCAGAAGCTCCTTGTCCTTTCACTTGCACTTTGAAGACAACAAACAATGGTGCAATTTCAACCAACTTAAATTTAACGACTCAACCTCGTTTGATATCATTCTCCACCACAAATTTTTTTCAGTCGTTAAATTTGAGTTGGTTGAAATTGCACCATTGTTTGTTGTCTTCAAAGTGCAAGTGAAAGGACAAGGAACTTTTGAAGATTCGGTTGAAATTAATTAGTTTTAGTTATGTTTGTGTTGTTTTTTCTTTTATTTTTAAGTTCATCCAGTTATGGTATATGTACTTTTATTTTCTGTTGAACTATAAATGATATCAAATTGCTATCTTCATCCAGCTCTCGTGTGTTTTTTGTTATGACTTATCTTTTTCCCCCATTTTGTATAACATTTCAAAAGACTAAAATAGTCTTGAATTTGAAAGAGTTAGGAAGAGTAAATAAGAGATGTAAATGCTTTATTGAGAAGTTAAATGGTTGGTAGTGAATAGTTTTGTTAGTAAATAGGATTCAATATCTACATGGGGATTCAAAAATTGTAGTTATCAATACAATTTTGGTAACCGAAATAGTTAATACAATTCAACTAACGCCATTAGTTTCGACAACAACTCTATTCAAACCAATCTAGATAGTCGCACTGGTGCACCAGTAATAGGTTGATCGTTCACTGATAGGATTCTTTAGGCTAACTAGAATGTAAGTAATTTTAGTGGTTAAATTATTAGGCTAATTAAGAATCTTTTTTTTCAAATACTGGAAGGACATTGATCCTACTTGTGTGAGTTCACGCACTTAGCCACTTTGTGATCATAATGACAATGTTATACGTACCACACGAAATGATACGCACATGGATAGATATAATTTTCTAATGACAGGTTCAGTTGAATCTATAACTTCGAGTCAGATTATAAATTTACGTATAAAAATTAGTATGATAGAAATACCGATTCACTCACACTTAGAAGAACATAGGTGAGTAAGAGATGAAAAAACAATCTAAGTATTAGGTTTGTTTAAGTATTAGGGCTTTGAAGATGGAGAAAATATACCTTCGGGTTTTGTTTTCGGCCATCTAGTTTGTTTAAATATTAGGACTTTGAAGATCTTATTATACGAAATACACAATCAAATATATGTATATTGATGAATAAATTTGGAATATATACGCATATAATACAAAAAATACGTTTATTGGAAAGAGTGTTTGCATGCTTGATATTTTTCATGTATGAAAAAACAAACATTTAATGGGTGAGAGAAATTCAAAACCTAACAGGAAGGGCATTTTTGGTATAAAATTAGCACATAAACCCTAATTTGGATGTGATTTTATATTAATAACCTCATTTGGGCCATTATGGCCAAAAAGAGTGGCAGAAAGGAATTTTCCTTTAACATATGAATGCATTTAACAACACAGAAAGAGGATAAAATGAGTGCATTTAACAGCACACATGGCAAGATTAGAAATGAATGCATTTAACAATACACATAGAGAATAAAACGAGTGAGCATCATTTAAGATAGTTTAGTCATGTCTTAAACACACTTTCAAATGCACTATTCTATATTCTATGATGGTTGAGGGTATTGATTGGGACGAGATATCACATAGAAAATCAAAAATTCCGCGGAATCCATGAGAGACTAAACAAATAATAGAGCACAATGAAGAAAATATCCGTATAAGCTAATACCAATTCTTTTAGATTAACGCCTAGTCTTGTTCGTAGGTTTACATTAGTCCAACATTTTTCTTATTCTTGTTGAGCAATTTGTATGTTAGTGGAAAATGTAGATAACTTCTAGGGGCCAGAGAAGTTAGTGTTGGAATGAGACAGATCCAAAGAAGGAAAATGAATAGAGAGTTCATATAGCCAACTGCGAGTAGCTTAGAACTAAGGTTTAATTGTTTACTATGTATCCAATCAGATGTCTCATGCTTCATTCTACATTTCTACTTAAATCTGCAAAATACTTATGATGCTACTTATTGCTTTCCGATTGCAAAATACCTTAAGTCCAATTACTGCAAAATACATTAGTGCAAAATACTTCAAGTTTACTATAGTATGCTTTTTTTTGAATTGGTAACTATTGTATATATTAAAAAACATCAGTACATAGGTTGCACTGAAAACCCAATTTACATGGAGAGGATTAGTATATGTTCTAATTCGAGACCTAGCAAGATCCTAGTATGTCTATGATTGTCAATGTATCTTCTATGTAAATCTGTTTGCACCAAAAACAAAAAAGAAGAATACAATTGAGTTTGATCTTCTGCACTGGATTGCTTCTATCTTCAAAACATCTAGCGTTCCTTTCCCTCCAGACTGTCCACCAGATACACGCCGGGACAGTCCTCCATCTATCTCTACTAGTTGCTTCAGCTCCAGCTTCTTCCCAGCTATAAAGGACATCTTTAACCCTGTTTGGCATTGACCATGAAATACCCCTAAGACTAATAAAGATTTTCCATAGTTGGTCTGTAATCTTGCAATGTAGAAACAAATGTGTGACAGTTTCAGCATTTTCTCCGCACAGAAAACATCTTGAGCACAGAGAAATTCCCCTTTTTATGAGATTCTCCTGGCTTAAAACCGCCTCCTTTGCTAGTAGCCAAGTGAAGCAAGCTACCTTGTATGGAATCTTTGTTTTCCATATATGTTTCCAAGGCCATGGGTCCATCTGTTGATTATTATGATTTAGAATCTTATATGCGTCCTTCACCCGGTATACCCCTCTGTTGTGCCTCTTCCACCAAAGTGAGTCACAACCCTCCTGTAATCCTTTAAATGCTTCCAGCTCTTTGTAAAGGTCAGCTAATCTTGTTATCTCCCAGTCATTCAACTGTCTTCTTAGAGCGATTTCCCATCCTTGATGACTCCTCATATCAGCTACTGTCTTATGCTGGTTTTGTGCTAAACCAAACATGTCGGGGTATCTTTCCTTTAAGCTTCCGTTTCCTAACCAATTATCATTCCAGAATGATGTGTTCCTTCCGTTGTTCACTCTTATGGAGGAGTGATTCTTCATTATAGGCCAAAGTTCTCTGATGGATTTCCACACACTTACTCCATATGATGTTCTGACTTTTTTTGACACCCAGTTATTTTCCTCACCATACTTTGCTTTGATCACTTTGCCCCATAAAGATTGAGGTTCTTGAGAGTACTTCCATAACCATTTCATTCTAAGAGCCTTGCTATGATTCTTCAAATTCCTTATTCCTAAACCACTTTGTTTTTTATCCATTGTGAGTGTTTTCCATTTAACTAAATGAAAGACCTTTTTCTCCTTATTACCTTGCCAAAGGAATGATCTTCGAAGTTTGTCCAATCTCTGTAAAATGCCTGCGGGAATTGGGAACAAAGACATCATATAAGTAGGAAGTGAGTCTAATATTGAGTTTATTAGAACTAGCCTGCCCCCCAAAGATAGGTATTGTGAATTCCATCTTGACAGCTTCTTCTCGCACTTTTCTATGACTGAATTCCAGATTTCTTTTGATTTGGATCTTGCACCTAGAGGCATCCCAAGGTAAACAGTTGGTAGGGACCCAACTTCTCCTCCCAATATCTGTGTTAGTTGCTCCATGTTGTTAACTTCATTAATGGGAAAAATATTGCTCTCTCTCCAGTTGATGTGTAATCCTGAGACTCCCTCAAATAAGACCAAAATGATTCTTAGCAATCTAAGTTGTTCCTTTTCGGCATCACAAAAGACTAGAGTATCATCAACATATTGGAGATGTGTGATCTCTAGATTGTTTGCCCCACTCCTGTTTACCTCAAAATCTTTAACCCATCCACTGACTTTAGCCGTTTTGATCAAGTTGTTCAATCCTTCCATGGCTATAATGAATAGAAAGGAAGATAAAGGATCACCTTGTCTTAGACCTCTGTGTGAATGGAAAAAACCTTTAGGAGATCCATTTATGAGAATGGAGAATTTACGGTAGATATACAAAATTTCATCCATCTATTCCATTTCTGCCCAAAACCCATTATTTCTAACATTCTGAGTATGAAGCTCCAATTAACATGATCATAGGCCTTCTCGATATCTAATTTGCAAAAGATTCCAGGTTCCTTCTTTTTTATTCTTGAATCCACAGCTTCGTTGGCAATCAACACTGCATCTATTATTTGTCTACCTTTGATGAAAGCCATTTGTTGAGCATCGACAATTTCCCCTACCACCCTCTTAAGTCTTTCGGTTAAGACTTTTGAGAGCAATTTGTAGAAGCTCCCTAGCAGACTGATCGGTCTGAAATCTCTCAATTCTTTCGCACCTGTCTTCTTTGGAGTCAAGGCTATATATGTTGCATTGAAGCTTTTCTCAAACATCTCCTGAGAATGGAAGTTGTTGAAGGCCGCCATGATGTCTTCCTTCAAAATGTCCCAGCACTTTCTGAAAAAACCCATTGTGTATCCATCCGGACCTGGGGCCTTGTCACTTGCACACATCTTCAGACAGGACAAAACTTCTTGTTCCTCAAAGTTACTCTGTAAAAGCTCCCTTTCTGACTCAGAAATTCTTTTGCTATTTTCCAAAATTGACCGTTGGTCTCCACTCTTCAGGCTCTGTGTATAACTCCTTGTAGAATTCAGTTATCTCAATCTCTATTCTATCTGGATCCTCGACTACTTCATGTCGAATCATTAGTTGATCAATGTTGTTGTTTCTCTTGTGTGCATTTGCAGTGCGATGGAAAAATTTTGTATTCCTGTCCCCTTATTTGAGCCACAGAGCTCTTGATTTTTGTCTCCATACACTTTCTTTATTCTTGAGTTGTTCCTCAATCTCCGNTGCTCTGCTCCCCTGCCTTCTGTTCCAGTCTTGCTATCTTTGCTCCACCTTCTGGCTGCCTGCAGCTGTTGAATGTTGTCTTTGTCATACTTTCAAGGTTTTCATTGGGGATTGAGTCCCCTGGAATGGACTCTATTGCCCCCAGGTAAGAAGGTCCTCCCATTTCCTCAATACAAGGCTTGAGCCTAATATCGTCAGAAAACTCACACGAGAGATCATTAAAGATGACTTGTGCAGCCAAGTCGGAGTCATAGGATTTCAGTTCGTTGTTTGTCACTTTACTGCTCTGATTCATCGAACTTGAACCTTGTGTAGGTTGCACACTTGCCTTTCCTTTATCAGTGTTTCGCAATATGGTGCACCCCACTTGATTGTTCAAATATCTCTCTATTTCAAAACATTGTTCGTTTTCTTGCATCTTCAACTCATATCTTGTCTGTCTTTCAGCCAGATTGGGATGAAAAATTTGATACCGTCTCTTACAATCCCAACCTCATTGGGAGTCTTTCTGCCATCACCAACAATTTTAATTCTTGCCCACTTAAGATGATTTTTGAGATCAGTTTCTTCTTCAGTAGCTATCCATCCCCCACAGAGATCTCCTATTTCTTTGAAGATCTTTTGTGACCATAGATGTAAAGGAATCCCCATGGCTCTAATCCAGCATGTTTCCTCGATTTGTGAGTTTGGAATGCATCCAGCAGTATGACTCCACCATTCCAGATGAAGCTTGAACTTTTTCCAACTCCATTCTCCTTGCATAATCTGCTCCGCCATGAATCTGTTTGGGAATTCAAAAAGAAACATGTTACCTGTCATTTCATACATGTTTACTCCATATGCTTTGTTCCATGACGCACTAGCCCATCGCCTTATGTCTGCTAAAGTGGGTCTCTCATTGATTTCTTTCCCAAAAAACCCGACAATGCATCTTTTTAGTAAACCAGAATCCTCGCTACCTGTCGGTTCCACAACAGAGATATCTCCATTGTTTATGCTGACCTTTGCCTCTCGAAGAGTATTGGATTGCCATTTACTCTCCTTGATTGCTTTGACATAAGGGTAGTTGTCCACTGTGATTCTAGGTGGTACTGTGGGATTCATTTTGGGGGTCTGATATATGAATCTTTCTATCTTGGCTGCTATGTCATTCCAACCTGCATTCAAGGCTAACTCTGGAATTATGATAACAGACCTCCCTTCTCCCTTCAGTGACAGAATGCTCATGTATCTTCCGTGAACGTTGAATTTCTTGGTACAAAAATGTTCTGTCATGTGTTCCTTGCACTTCCATCGCTTCACTAAATTCATTTGATATTTCGAGGCTTCTTTAAGTACAAAACAAATCCATTCCATTACCTTTTTGCCCATGGATGAACGTCTCATCATGCTGCGGCTTCTCTCCACCCATTCAAACCATACCTCTTTGTTGGAATTCCATCTGGTGATGTCAAAAGATTTGAATCCTGCGTTGAAATATATCCGGTTGTCTCCCATATTGCACAACCCAGCTGTTCAGGTTATGGAAATTATAAGGAGTATTTGATGGTCATCACAGTTGAGCTGTTGAGGTAAAAGAAACTGAAATTTGGCCCAAAACAGAGGTTTCCCCCTCCCGGAAAAATAAAAGTCGTCGGAAATCTGAAAAAATTGTACCAATCTGGTCGGAATTAACAGTAGAGGAAGCTGTCCAATTTTTTTTTTTGAAAAGCTGCCGGAAAATGGCTTACGCGCCCGGCGCGTGGGTGGAAGGTCGCCGGAGAAGGCGGCGCGTGGAGGCTGCTTCGTCGGAAAAGATTCAGTGGAGTGGTCGGAATCTCGGGGTCTGTCTAATGGTGTTCATGGAAAGCTACAAATTCTTGTACTCGGGCTCCTCGGGGAGTGTGCCTGAGAGCTTATAAAGTAGAGAGAGAAAAGTTTTTTTCATGTCAAGTTTTTTAAGCCCCTGTAGTATGCTTTTTTATAAATATAGTCCTTCATCCTGTAGTATCCTTTCCTATATATAAGGATCAGGGTCGTAAACTAGTGGACATACTTGTGAATCATGAGAAATTATAGTCTATACTTCTATAAGTATGTCTAGACATATTAATTGTATTGGTTGTTTTCTTAGAATAACTATATTAAGAATAATCTGAATACTTTTATCAAGTTATTAGTGTGAATTGTGAAATATGTTTCTGAGATGTTGCTTGCTTTGGAGCATGTGTATTGTTCGACCTCGAGAACTAGCTCTGCTCGTATATTGAAAGATGCCACTTTCTCTTAAAAAGGAAATGAAAAGGAAGAGAGATTTGAAAATTATGTTTTATCTGTTCACTAGATAAATGTCGGGAGCTCCTGTTGACAGTGTTGTCAAAGGCTCATTTAAGTCAGGGCTTAGACTCATTTAAGGCACGCTTAACTCCTAAAGCTCAGAAAAGTTCAGGAAGTGCGCTTCGCTTCGCTTAAGCTGCACAAGCAAGGCACTAAGGCGTGTGCCTTATTGTCCATAAGTTCTATCTTGAATGGAGTAGTATTAAACAACAAAGAATTGACAAATAAGTGTATTAGTTGTTAAGTAAAACATTATGAGTAAATTTGCTACTCTTTTTTTTTGAATTACATATATATATATATATATATATATTTTTTTTTTTCTTTATTGCGCTTTTTTAACTAAAGCCCACATTTTAATTTCGCTTTGCGCTTAAAATAAAGCGAAATTAAAATCCCAATAGATCTAAAATGCTTTTTAGAGTTTTTCGCTTTGACGTTGACTGAGCTGGTATGTTTACACACATATACACCTACACCATATTTTAACAAATTATTTTGTCTTTGTTGACAGATTTCTTGGGAGACTGAGTGGATAGTCCAGAGAAGGACAAACATCTCTACTCTATCTGTTGGTTGCTTTACCCTTTTGCCAATGTAATTGGTGTACCCAATCAGATAACTCATTTTATAAAATACATGGCTTATTAATTTAATAAAATGTAACCAAGTACTTTTCCCCTTGGCTTGTGGACAGTATAACATGTGCCTTACCTAAATAGAGGCAGAATTTGTTTTACCGCTTTATATGAATCAATGTTTTTTTTGATTTGCACGAGTCTCTTCGAGACCCGACTATTCCCGGAGGTGCACAGGCCCTTGGCAAGAAGTTTCCCGCAAGTGCATCACGGTTAATTCAAGTTTTAACCAGTCCGATGGCCCTCAAATATTGTTTGCACCCAGTGGGTTTCGAACTTGAAACCTTGAAAAGGAGCAAACTCCAAGGCTCAAGTCAATTGCCACCGCCAGGCCATTTATAGATATGTCTCCTTTCTCTAACAGTTAAGTTTGGAGTAAAAGCAACTGCTGCTGCTCGGCTAAAGATGGGTAAGAGGCTCTAACCCAAGCCTAGGCCTCGTAGCAATTGCCTTAGCAACTTCTATGATTAATTGAAGAGGGTATTTCATACATAACTATAACGAAACAATAAAAGGTGCATCAACTATTTACAATACATTACTCAAGTGAAAGTAGCCGTACATAAATTATGAAACTAAGGCTTAGCTTACAAAGTCCTAACCATTGTCAAGTATTTGTTTTATCAGAGCTCCTCTGCTTGATGTCCAGTCTCTTTATCTCCAAAGGAGAATGTTCTTTTTACCTTGTTCTTTGTTTTCTGCACGGCGTCCCCAGCTAATTTTGCAGCTGATTTGGCTGAATCTTCCATTGCCTCTTTACTCTTGTCAAGGCTCTTTATCACTGCTTCTTTCACCTTTTCACCTGCTCCTTCTTCCTCCTTGCCTTGTGCTTCTTGGCTATCTCGGAAACTGTGTATTTCCTCACCATCAGTCACAAAAAAAATCTAACTTGAAGCGATAGAGGGGTATTTTTTCGATGACCGAGAAATCCGTCTGGGGCCGATCCTTTGGATCAACCGCAGCCTTCGAAACTCGGTGGATAATGGGACTTCTTTCTATTTAGATCCCCGTTCGTGATCCCAGCCCTGGAATCACTTCACTCTTTATTCAAGAGAATAATAAAGTAAAGAAGAGGTTCAAGACAGAACTGTGAGCAGGGATATTTAGCTATTTAGCCTTAGAGAAAGGCTGACTTGAGAGCCCGCCCCTCTACCCTTCTCCACTTAAATACCAGGCTTTGCATTGCATGGTGTGAGGGCTTGAACCTGTGACCTAAGACACAAATCCACTATCCTTTGCCACTTGGGCTAGGCCCTGGGGCCAATAGGGGCCAATAGAGGGGTGTTGTAGACTTGAAATAAATAGGTAAATTGATTGAAATATACATGAGTGGATATAGGGTTGTGATAACTTACTCAAGAGTTGGAGGGGAGAAGTAGGCCTTCCCTTGTTTGATGAGTGAATTGAATTTGCTCCAATAACTGGTTGAAGTTTGAGGAAGAGTAGTGGGGAAAGAAAACATTCTCTTGACAGTCTCTATAATGGGAGTTTTCTGGGACTTGGCCTCCATGTGGAGTTGTTCTTGAAGCTTTTGCGCTTCTTCTTCTTCTTGCTGTTGTCTTCCTCCGACGGTACTGCCAACAGTTGCTGCTGCAATTGTGCAGCAGAAGGATGTGATAAACACCAGTAAGAGAAGGAACAAGGTTTAGCTCTTAAGACGAAGATGGCTGCTCTCCATGTTGTTGCTAAATGAGTTGGGCCTTCGGATAGATCACAAAACTTAGTTATACAGCCGTTGGAGCCTCTCCCATATTGCTATTTTATTGTTGGTCGACACGTCTCATGAATGCTGATTTGGTAGTGCTAATTATACATCATAGGTGGATGCTGATTGTTGCTACCACTTGGCATATATTTGGACTGTCACGTGGTACTTGGAAAAATACATGGACGAATTAG